ATCACGCGCCGAAATCGCGAGTACACCTAACCCTCAAATTTCTATAAATAAGTTGGCCCCCAGTATCCACTTCTCACTTCTTGCGTTCCATTATCCACTCAAATAGTTTACTTTATTCTCATGCACCACCGCGGTGTTATCTCTCTTCCTCCGCCATTAACCACTGTCACCACCGCCGCCAATATCACATCACAACCTTTTTATAACACTAAAAGATTCAAATCAAACCACCATGTCAAGCCACAATTATCGTTTACTAAACTGGCACTACACAGAGTTAGATGACATTGATCATCAAATTCGAGGAAGAAACCTTTTCTTCATAATCCTCATCTTCTCTATTTCCCTTCTCATCACCGTTCTCTTCTTCTACACGCGCTGGGTCTGCCGCTACTACGGCCACCTCCCACTCACCTTCTCCACCACCTCCGCCGCCCAATCCAGCCACGCGCCGCCGCCACCTCCGCCTCAAGGACTTGACCCTACATCGATTAAAAAACTGCCCATCATATTGTACCAGGCGCCGGTAGACCATGACGGCGGCGCGTGGGAGGAAAGTGAGTGTTGCATATGTCTGGGAGAGTTTAGAGAAGGTGAGAAGGTTAAGGTTTTGCCAAAGTGTGAACACTGTTTTCATTGTGAATGTGTTGATGAATGGCTTATTCATCATTCAAGTTGTCCATTATGTAGATCTTCTCTTATGGTTGAATCTTCTTTTCCTAACGTTTTGATTCAAGAACCACCCATTAGAATTGATATCCAATTCTAAGCCCTTCATTTTTCTTATGGGCTATGAATATTATCTTATAAATTTCAATAAAATCATCACTTTTCATCATTTATTTAGTGTCATGTACATGTAACTCTATAAAATGAAAATGTAAATGAACTTGTTACATATCTTCTGCTTTTATTTTCTACTTGTAATATAATGCTGAGAATCTATAGTGATATTAGGGGAGATATCCACTTTACTCCATGAGTAAGTAGAAAAAACCTAATCCACATTATGATCATTCATTCTTGGGAAATCCAATGGTTTGAATTAGAAAATACATCTAAACTATTGAATTTTCTAAAATTGAGTGGCTAAGATGTGGCTAAAATTGAGTGGCCAAGAGTAAGTGGATCCCTCCCCTTGATATTATATAATTGAGTTATCAAATTTATCAACCTAATGAATTGAATTGTATTCGACTCAAATTAGATTCATTTATTTAACAAGAACTCAGTTTATAGTTAAAGTTCATCTCGTGTGATTCATGAATTAAATAATAAATCGAGTTCGAATCAATTGTTAGTCATACATAATATTATGAAATTTGAAATAGATTCTAATTTAGTTCTTCGGGTTTTGTTTTTATAAATGATTGGACGTCATCTCTGTGAAACAAAATTAATAGATAATGACTAACAAAACATTAGTCTAGTGGTGTAAGGATTAATGATTTGATTTTTATTAATGATATTTATTGAGATTGACAATCACATACCCGAAAAAGATTAGTTTATTGGTGAATGGATAAACTAAAAAAATTAATAGACAATGTCAAACTGTTATTTTTATAATATTAAGGATTAAATTAAATGCTAATGTGAATCTCGATAAATATAATTTGTTTTTATTTGTTAAACAAACCGAAGTATAAAATTTTATGTTTTTATCAGTTTTTATAATATTTAAAATTTTCTGTCCTCTTCGTCTTTTTAAGTGTTTTGAAAATATAAACGTTAGTTAGACAATTGCACATGGGACATAGGGGGAAGAAAGTGGATGTTTCACAATATTTAGTTGTCAAAATAAAGTATTGTTTCACTTTGATAAAATAGTTTTTAGTTGAGTTCCAACGTTGGATGATGGAAGACCAGGGTACAAAAAGGTCATATAATTTTCTTGCAATATCAATTATTTAATAATAAAAATCTTCAAGATATTGCTCTTCTGAGTCAGCTATGGCTACCCTACTAGGATACGTGGTCATGCTTCTTATGTCATGCAAAATTGAAATCCATAATATGATAAAAAAAATTGAATTGAGATGGGTGACCCAAAAAAAAAGTTTGGGAATGGGTGACCCAAAAAAAAAGTTTGGTTGGTCTACATTACAGTACAGGCCAATGCATACTCAGGATTAAAACATGTATCATAAATAAAATTTTAATGGCATAAATTTTAACATTGTTTTAAATTAATTTTTTTATAAAAAACATCTTTCACATAACTAGTACTGGACTCTCCAGTATTGGAAATGAATCCAATTCCCAAAAAAAAGATGAATCAATACTCTGCTTTGGTGTTCTTTTTTAATTAAGGGCCTACCTGTTTTATAACTAGCTTCCTAATTAAGTTGCTCTAAAAATTTTGTTTCACATTTTTATCCCCTTCATGGAGTGTCTAATTGCTATGTGAAGATAATTTTTTTTGAGTTTAATGTCTAATCAGTTTTAGTATTAGGGGTAAGTATGACTCGATTACCCGCTCACCCGATATGACTTGATCATGATCGGACACGAATATGGTCGAGTCTCATTGGGTCTAGGTTCGGGTTCAAAAATTAGACTTTGTTAATACTTATGACTGTGTAGGGATAAAGCATGATCCGACCCGACCCGTCTCATATTCACTCACTAATTATGTTTGTATGTGTCTTTTTATTCAATTTTATACAGATTAATGCCATATTTTTGGTTGGAAGTATAATTTATTCTTTAATTTATTTCATCATATATACATGGTTAATAATATATATACAAATATCATTTTATATGTCAAATTGAATATCCATAATAATAAAGAATATTAAGAAAACTTTATCTGAAATGAACCTGCATTATATTTAATCAGGTTAAGAGTCGAGTTCATATTTAAATGTTGATCTGATCGATATTTAGGGTCAGGTTAGTTCCGGGTCTAGGATTAAGTATGGATTCAAAAAAATAATCTGATCAACATTTAGGGTCGGGTAAGGGATAAACTTTTACCCGTCCTAACCCGACCCATGCTCACCCCTAGTTAGCATACAGTTTTTTGCACGGTCAATATTATACACCATTTATTTATGCTGATGTTACTTTTATTATTTTTGTTAAAAGGTGAATAACAATTAATATATGAGTAATAGATGATATAGATTCGTTAGAGTGATGGAAATATTAAGAATGTTAGAGTTATGGTTTCTTATCTGTTAAGTTTGATGTTGCTTTCTTACACTTGTTAAGAAGCAATTGAACCTGGCCATGCATATATGGATAATGTCATGCTCGAAAATGAACTTGCCGACTTGGATAATTCAATGTCAAAACTTACCTTCGAATATTCGAGTGTATGCTGTGTGAATTGTGGTAGAGGATGAGGGGGACAGCAACCAAAGGATAAGTAGTTTTTTTTTTCGATAGCGATACTCGTAGAAAGGGACAACCACATATCTGAAATGGATTAGTTCCTTACCCATAGGGTGAATGAATATCTTTGATAGTACGGAAAAAAATATTTATTTTTTTCTTTTCAATTACATATGTTAGGAGAGTTTTACTATCTATACCGATTCAAATAGGATTATCTTCTATTAGTGGAGAATATATATATGGTTTAAACAAAATCATGAAACATCTTATCGAAAAATCAAGATCAACAAATCTCTTACTACAAAATATTTAACACAAATGAATTCTCAGCTGCATATATCATAAACTAGAGTGGCTTGTATTTCATAGTCTAATGCATGTGAATATAAATAAAAATATGATTTAGATTTATTATCAAATATAATAATATCAATTATTTGTCATATTTAATGATATAGTTTAGAGTATAACTATATTAAGCAAAATGTAATTTAGCGTAGGTTAATTAAGTTCAAGTTGGTGTGAATTCAAAAATTTGTTAAATAAATAAAATTATGATTGAAACACATAATTTTTATAGATTTTAATATTCAGGAGATAAATCATGATAGTAAAAGTTGAGATAAATCAAAATAATTAATCAATTCTTTTATTTGATATAAGAACATATGCAATATAGTATGACTAATTCTCTCAATAAAGAAATAAAGATTTTCTTCATATGCAAGACTCGAATTTGAGTCTTTCATGGATAAAGGAAAACATGTATATAATATCACTTGAACCAACTATTTGTTAGTTGAAAATATGTTATTCAAAGACCCACAATTAAATACTTAGTTTGTATAGAATAAACTTATTTCAAATTAAAAGAGAAAATATACTAAAACAATGAGCCACTCGTATAGAACAATGATCACCTGTTCTAAACCTGTCTCAAGCCAATCACATTTCAGCAAGTCAGATAAACATGTAATTTTTTATTTTCTTTTTAATTATGTGACAATTTCTAATTGGCTGAGACATGGAATTGGAACAGGGTTGGAGACAGAAGATCCTCATTCACTTGTATGGGCATGATGATTCCTTGGTACGTTTACCCATATCAATTATTTTAAAAAAAATAAGTCAATTAAGTTGCATATAGTCTTGTTTTTTCGGAATAATAAATTTCATCTTGAAGTTTTATTTTAATATGATCCATCTCAAGGTTAACACTAAGCGAGAAATCAGAGAATATGAAGAAAAAAACATGCGATTTGTTTCAATGTATATGAATTATACACGCAAAGCTTTTTGAGCCTGAATTTAATATTTATACATCATATAATGTTTTTTTTGACACTTTCAAAAATTTCAAATTAAGAGTTGATAATATATGGAACATATAAAGAACTTTACACTTAGAATATATACATAAAGATTAAATTCTAAAAAACACTTTTCACTTCATTGTTGATTTGAATTTGTATTTTTGCAATATAATTATTCCCAGAAAAAATATTAATTTTATACCTATATGACGAAGGATACCATTGGCCATAAAAAAAAGGAAGTATTGAAATATTTTAAAAATAGAAAATTTGAAAACTATAAAAAAAACCAACTCAACCAAATATTGGGCTAAGAATAAAAAACCCAACGGGCTAGGCCTCGGTTGTTATGGGCTTAAAAACCCACCGATTCAGAATTGAAGCCCGAAGCATGTTAGGGTTACTTCCCTTGTTCGCTATATAAAACACTGAAACCCTTCTCTTCATTGTTACTACAACAACGAGGGTTTGTTCTGAGATTGTGAGAGAATCATGAGGGCTAAGGTAATGATTCTCCTTCTATATTGTTTTCTATTTTGTGTTTTCCATTTCCTCTTATTGTTTTTGTGATTGTGAGTGTTGTTTTGTATATACAGTGGAAGAAGAAGCGTATGAGGAGACTTAAGAGGAAGCGCCGAAAGATGAGACAAAGATCCAAGTAGTTTTTGTTTCTGTTCCTTAGCAACAATAACTATCTATCTTAGTTTTGTTCTTCGTATTCTGTTGTTTTTTTGTTTAATGTTATGAACTTATGATACAATTTATGTGTCTTTTTTGGAACTTGCCTACCTCAGTTATGAAATGTTGTTTCTGTTTCAGATTGAATTTCGTTTCTATTTGAGTTTATTTAATTTTGTTAATTATAATTTATATTTTTTAGATTATGGATCAAACCTACTGCATGATTAATTACTTTTAGGTCACATAATCCTAAATTCTAATGTTCTAAAATTGTTTGTACAAGTTATTATTTTGGTTAGGTGCCTTTATTTTATTTTGGCAATTAAGTTGTTGAAGTTACTAGAATTGCAATATATTTTAAAGGCTAAATGAAATGAATAATGATCTAAATATAACAATTTAGATGTGATGTGACATTTTTGCTTGATTTTGGGTTAGGTGTCTTTTTTAAAATTCTATCTTTAAATTCTGTATGTGATATATAATATGCATTAGCTTAAAAGCCTGGGTTGTTGTTTTTCTTCAAAGTGGGATGAATGGATGATAATTATTGAGATGTATGTGAAAATGGTTTTACATCAATTTCTAATCTTATATTGTATCAGGAAGAGTTATTATTTCTTAAATACTTAGTCAAAATAGTGTTGCTTGTAAGGGTTGGGTCTGATATCGGGGTTATATTAAATTTACAATTATGAATGGGTAAAAACCTGTAACGTTGTCTTGGTTTTGCAATTGTGGTATTAGTTATAGTGCATTTCAGAGTCTTTAACTGGATTCATTAAACAGTGAACAATTGTGTTATTGGTTTTGCAATTGTATGTTAAAATGCATATCAGTCTCTTGAATGTTAAGAGATCATCCAAGTATGAGTCGATTTTAAAAAAATTGCTTTGTTTTTAAAAACATAAACATATAGGCTTTGGAATATCATAATGCTCCAGTTAATAATTAGATTTTTTTTTAATTCTAGCTATGTAGAAAATCGTACAGAAAATAGATTCGTAAGAGATGGTAACATGGCATTTTTCTGTTGGGTAACATAAACATGGAGGGTGAGTTTGGGTTGGGTTAGGACTGGTATCATGATCGGGCCATACCGGGTGAGCGGGTAGGATCGGGTCTTGCTCACCCCTATAAACATGTAATGATTAAGATAATGATTTACTTACTAATTCATTTTATTATATTTTCCTAAAATTAATGGGTAAAAGATAGAATAAGTTCAAAATTTAGTATTGAATTTCCTAATGAGGTGAGATTATTTTCACGTATTCTTGGAGTAAGTTAATCCTCTTACCTATGATTAAATACAATCAAGGAGTTAAGGAGCAACTTAATTGTTTATATGAAATGGTGTTATTATTGTAGAGGTTTTTTTTTTTTATGCAGAAAATTATTTTTAATGAATACATACATGATCGAATTTTACCTTAAAGGAATTTAAGATTAGATATGCCAAAGAAAAATGTTCTCATTCACAAGGAAATGATTTATAGTCCGTAATTTCGTGAGTTCAATTGTTCAAATATCTCTGATAACGTGTGGAAGCCAATCTTAAATAGTTGGTATATGCTGCACAGAAAAAATTTATGCACGAAATCGTTCGAGTTTTATATACTATTATTATATCATCTATTATTTGTGTTTTATTATCATTAATTCTTCAATTTTTTTTAGTAAAAATGAATAATAGCTTATGTACTGGTTGTATATAAATTTTCCGCTGACATTGAATACATATTATACCATGTACTAAATTGTGAATAATCTTAAATGTGCTGGATATTTAGATTCTAGAACACTCAAGATTTATCATATGACCAATGCTAATTTAGGAACTATAACTTAGTTCGTTTCGGAGCGAACTTATTTTTAACCATTAGATGAAAAAATTTAGCTATCGGTCACCGGTTGAATACCCTTTAGAAGTCGGTATGGGGGACATAACTTTAGTGTAGAAGTCGGTTTAGGATAATACAAATGTATCTCCTTATTGAGAAGCCGATTTGGGCCAACCCAACATCACTAAATCCCATTGAGAAGTCGGTATGGGCTTTACCAACTTCCATTGAAAAGTCGGTTGGGTCATCCCAACTTCCATTGAGAAGTCGGTTTGGCCCATAAACCGACTTCTGAATGGAAGTGGGTAAAGTCCATACCGACTTTTGAATGAAAGTTGGTAAAGCCTATACTGACTTCTGAATGAAAGTTGGTAAAAGTCGTACCAACTTCTGAATGGAAGTTGGTAAAACTCATACCGACTTCTAAACGTGACAGATTTTCAGTCATCAAATCAACAATTGAGATTAAACACAATATCATCTAACTACCAAGGAAGCACGGTTCGCATACAAGCAAACTAACTTGTCATTTGCAAGTTTTTCGCTGCCTTATCTATTATTGGTTTCTTCTCTATTTATCTTTCCTATAAGCATTCACGGATGACCTACTGATACTTGAAATAGCATTTACACACTCGTCTCTAAAAACTAAACCACTCATATTTTTATTTTTCAATTTAAAATTGATTATTCAGGAGTATGAATAAACATTTGAGAATGGCAATACTGTAACTCATGTTTTGTGTTCCATAGAAATAATGTAAAATTGCAAATATTCATTTTAGGATTTATATTCTCCAAAGTAAAAATGTATCCAAAGTGATAAAATTAGTATTTGTTGGGAGTGACGACATCCCAAAAGAGATTAGTTTATTATCCATATGGGAGATACACGTGGTTATAACATAAAAAACCAATAGTTAGTTAATATACCCTCCCATATATTACATAAAATCTCACACTTATATAGGGTCCAAGATCTCTATTTTGGAAGCATCAAATTTGTCAGACATGATTTCTTTACTTACTTTTATTATAACATGTGCTTTGTTTTCCTTTCCTTATAATTTCCTACCCTTAAATTTGCCTTAATTGGTGCTACAAAACCAAGATTTCAGTTTGTGAACAAAACACGTATCTCACAGGTTTATAATTATTGCAAACAATTGCACCCACTGAAATGACTTTCCTAAGAAAAAATGTGTAGAGAAAATGATTTTCATTGCAGTAAAATTTTACTATAAGCAATGAGAAGGAAAGAAAAACCTCTGCCTCTTACTTCTAGTGCTATAATTTGATGCAATGGAAGAAGATGATGCAATTTTGGTGAGTGCTGATTTAAGGGAATGTTTAAGAGTACTAATGCAAACACTCTCTTCACTGTCCTTAGAACAAAGAACTAGTATGCTTTTAATCCTTCCACCAACACTAGCTATATCAGCTTTAACTGCTATTAGTCTCAACCCTTTGAGGACTTGAATGAGTTCCGAGAAAAGTTCCGGTCGATCGTCGCAACAAACCGAAGCTTTTATGTTGATATTGTCCTTGAATTTGTTTACTTTAGTGCTGAATTTTTCATCTTGAACATGGTCATAGTCAATTTTTACTTCATCAAATTCAGTTGGAACTATATAGTCTCTAGTACTAACAATATCATTTGCTTTTTGCTTTAGATCTTTGACATGGTCTATCACACTTCCTAGTAAAGCTGCTTTGTCCATCTGAAATGTTAGTCAAACAATTTTTATAACACAAAGTACTTAGAAAGTTGTTGTAATTCATTGTACATATAATAAGACTAGCCAATGTTGTGTGCAAAACTATAAGTTGTTATGAAAAGTTGTCCTAAGCAGTTGATAATGTTTAACTATACTATCCAAAGAAAAGATTCATTGAAAATTGTCACCTTATCAGACTTGGGAATCAATTTTCTGAGACTTGCAAGCTGTGTATTAATCCGGTCTCTTCGTCGTTTCTCGGCTTGACTATGGCTTTTGGATGCACTTATAGTTTTATCTTTTGCAGCACCTTCAAAGGGTGAATGATCAAATTGAAGAGAGGCATAGTTAGAGATATGAGGTAGTGTTTGTGTAGGGACTAAAAAGGGAGAATGATCAATGCATTCATCAAAGTTAGTCCCTATATGGCAGACAGAATCATAGTAATTTTCCATAGTCAGAATGGAAACTATACTAAACTTTTTTCTATGCTTTCTGAGCTTTTTATTGGTAACTACTATTTGCTGCACCTATAATTAATGAGTGATTTTCCCCCCTATCTTGATGGTGATTTGAGTAATGTGCAATGAACTTTGGTTGGTCTACATGAAAATTGATTTTGGCTGTACCTTTCTGTCACTTCACCAAGAAAGTATTTTTTCCTCCAATAAACCCAATGAACTTAGACTTTTTAATGAATCTAAAGTTTGGTAGTATTGCGAAAAAGCGAACAATCAAATAGTAAAAGAGAATAGGGAGAAGAGAAAATAACACAAGAAATTTGGTAACGAGATTCGGCTAATTGTGTCTATGTCTCCGGGAACGTTGAGAGGCTATCGCTATGTATTATATAATAAGGATTTGGTTTGTGTCTACTTGTTTTATTAGGTTTATTTAACAAAGATTCTTATAACCCTCTACCCAACTCTTTTACATTAGTCCAAACCCATAACTTTATTAATGTTATACGAAGAAATGGTTGATCCAATGGAATAAGAGCCATACTTCATTATTTGTACAACTAGATGTTCACAGTCTTGTTTCGCAAGCAAAAAAATCATTTTCTAGGATTTTCTAGGATTGATAACAACCTTACCGTACGTCAAACTCAAACTCATACAAAAATATAAGTATCTTGGCCTACAAAGCTAATTTGATCAATTAGTCTTTTTTTAGCAAGGTTTTGAATGAGAAATGAACAGTATCTAGCAAATAAATTTGGAAAGAATTGTAGTAGCTTTGGAATTGCTTGACCTTGCAGCAGTAGTGGATTTAGTGGATGTGTCTTATTCTTGTGTGACCACAAATCATGCTACTTATTCTGAAGTAATCACAAGTAGTTTCTCTCTTGGTATAAGGCCATATCCATGTCACAACTCTTTGAGTCACTTCATAACTATACAAGCAATTGGATTAAAAGTGGAATACTATTCAATCATATTTGAAAAATTACTACTAAGCCTAAGAGACTAAGAGAGTATTTGTTGTTGGGATATAAGAATTTTTGCAGTTGAAGATACTTCACTCTGCAAGTAAAGTGCACCGGTCAAACCGTGTATCATTGCAAGACAAAGGTTGGTTTCTATCATTCATGTATTTTCATTGAATGGTGGAAGTTCAAAACATTACACTTAGTAAAAAGAGGTATATGCAAGCTTAAATTAAATGCATGTCATAATCATCTTCATACATTTTGATCAATCAACCCATTTAAACTAAA